GGTTTATGGACCACTTGATTTTTCCTCAATGGTCCTGCCGCGATGGCTAGAGCACAGACGATTAGAGAATGCCCTAGGAGAGGGACTCGCTAGAGAGCGCAGAGGCGGTAAAGGGCTGAGTTCAAGTAGTCCGTCAACACCCCGGTCGCATTCAGGATGTTCAGTGATGATGAAGAGTTTTCTGATGATATGCTCGAGATAGATGACGGTCTTAGTTCATCACCAGTGCCGGTGAAGGACGAGGAGGAGGAATTCCGAGAGTTAATTAAAAAGCGGGAAATGATCGAGAAGAAAATGAACGCTGTGGATGATTTGGCTAGACAGGTGCGTCCACATTGTCCATCCACTGTAAATGAAGTATCAGAGTGGGAGTTTTGAAATGTCTTACAGATTGAAAGTTCGCCTTGGAACTACAGAGAGCTATGACTGACTGCTATTCAAATCGTGTGTCATCACTCCCGATTGATACTCTGCTTGAAGTAAGTAATGTTGTATTTTTTTGACTCAATGCACGAAAAGGCTACATGACAGCCGCGCGAACGCAACGCTGTCGGCGAGTTGCGACGAACACAGCAAACTCCAGCAGCAGCAACTCCAGATCAAATTGGTGGAGTAACAGGAGTCAGTATGAAAATATGGATGCCGAGTTGATTGAAAATAAAATAAAAGAAGTAAAACATACCGCTGATAAAGCCTTGAACGCCTTGGCCACAACCTGCTGTGGCCGGATAACTTGTCCGCATCATTTAACTACTTGAGTTCAGCTGAACGATGTGGTAAGTTGAATCTCAAAAATCGCGGTGAATCTCAAAGATCTTGAAAAAGAGCGAAAAGCTTGTGCTGGACTGATGCCAAGGCAACCGGAGGAACGGAATGTGGTGCATTGTCCGTCACGAGAAGAGTGTGCAGTTACGACGCATCGAGGTGGTTCGGGGCCCCCGTGGCCTTTCCCAGGCACACGTCGTTCTACGGGTCCTTCCCGGGGATCATGCGGTTTCCCGCACGCATGACCTCCGCACCCCGGGGCCTTACAGGGTTCCTAACCCAGGAACGGGGGGTTTACAGGGCCATGCCCCGCGGTAACAACCCCTTGATGCACGCAGCACATGATGACCTATTGCGCCTTAACCGGGCCCCTGCCCTGGCGCTCCCCCAAGCTTACATACTTGTACACAACACTACACATCTTGGACTCACAGTTTATTGGCGATAACGTCCTTAACGCACTACAACTTAACTTCCTGCCGAGCGTGGAGAAGCCCGGCCAACGCTTGTAGTGTCTGCAGCCAATAGCGGTAACTGCGGTAACATCGGCCTGCAGCCGATAGTGTCCCTCGGGTGTAGCGGGACACTAACTTACCAGCGCTCCGAGCGAACGGGACAGCATGCCCGAACATGCTGACGGGTGCTAGCAGGCACCCCTAGCCGTTCGCCTTCCTCGCGTTGCCCGACGACCGTCTCTCCCGGAGGAGACGAAGAGCGCCGACTGGCAGAGGCGACCCTTTATATAGGCCTCGGCTGGAGGCGTGGCCGGAGGCGGAGCACGCGCCTCTCGCCGGTGCGTGCGCCGCCAAGCGACCAACGGCGCGACAGGGGGCCGGGCGCGCGGTGCGCCCACGACCGTCGTCGCGAACCGGCGACAACCAAGAAATCTCGTCCATTAGCTTACTATTGTCAACCCTCGCACAATGTAGCGCTCTATGGATTCGAGCTGCCGACAAAAGAAACAATCATGATGCTCGCGGGCTACCCTGCGGTCCTACCCTTTCCAACCCAACAGTATGGATTATACGATACAACCTCATTTGAGGTTGTTGCTTTAACAATAAGACGTCGTTCATAGCTTGTTACGTAGAAAATGCGGTGATGTGGCAGTTGGGCTTGCGTCCACAAGAATGTGAGTGTGTCGACCACGAAAATCGGTCAGTTGTGGAATCGTCAAATCGCATATTTATTAATCGCCAATACCGCTCAAGGCGGAGCGGGTTAATCGATGTACGCCTTCCAACGGAATCGCCTAGTCGCGGAATCGCTGAATTGTCGATTCTCATAAGTCTTGAGCTACAGAGGGTGCTCAACCTGTGGGTGGGCAATCAGTTCAAAAGGCCAGCGGCATGGTAGCCCAATCGACATATGACTTGAATGAACAGAATTTCCGAATATCTTACTCATAGCTGTTTAAACTTCACTACAAACGCTTCTACTCTTTTTAGTCTCCTAGGCATGCATTAATGCGACGGCGACAGCCAGACGCGCATAACGTCAAACATATCAGACAGTGCGGCACATTCTGACGCGCATGGATTTCCATTTCAGTTTTCTCTACATTTTCCTTCTAGTTGCCTAAAAGTTCGTATAAAAGTTATAGTAAGAGTAGTTGAAAACTCTCTGGACGGCAAGGTGTTGGGAAGTGCTCACAATTGGTCAGCGAATCTGTTTTGCTTGGTAGCTGCGGTTTTAGAGCCGCAGTTCGTGTTCCGAATGTATATCGGGCAGATTGTTTCATTTTCAGTTAAGGTGTCTATCATCTGGATCGTTCTTAATCGTTTTTTCAATAAGAAATAATACATCAAATGATCTCTTCGGCTGGACTATTATCGCCAGTCTTGTACCGCCAACGATGGCAAAATCGAGTAAGGAAATTTTTTTGATACGTTCCTTTCTTGGTATATGTTTTTGACAAAGGTTTCTCGAAAATTGTGATAAGCTATTTTTTCCAGACATAGGATCGTTCTCCCAAAGTATTACCATGGAGAGTTTAATGTCTGGAGAAGAGTTTTCGTCGGAAATATTTTTTCCTCAGTCTCTTCTCCACCTGCCACTGATCATCCGACTAAGCCTCACAAAGTAAAGCCGAAATAATTC